ATTGTTTCAAATAAGACATAGGACGAAATGTAAGGAAAGTTTGAATGTAAACTCACCCCGGCCATACTTGTTTACAGCTTGAAAACACTTTTCAAGGGTTAGCAGGCGTTTAAGACGTGTGGTTTTGACAGGGCCGAATGTTGTTGTGTGGATGTGATTGTCTACAACGTAATTTCCGGCTTGCGACATCATGGCCGACGTCCTTGGATACGGAGACAGAAAATAGCTGAAAGTGGAAAAAAATCACTTTGACGAACGTGGCGGAGGTGGGTATGGACGGAGTACAATGTGGATGGAGTGGACGTGTGCATTTCTAGAGTTTGGAAGTGATTACATGCTCCATACAGTGAAAAATAAGCGCAAAACAGCAGGCAACGGCGCAAAATGAAATGAAATAAAAGGGGACGAACTGTGAAAAAGAGGGCCAAGTTGAGGGTTCTATTTTTTTATTTGAATATGAGTGGTGGGCCGTTCCCGGAGGTACTGCAATACCGGGTCAACCCGTGATGAGGGCGGAGCAAGCTCCGTGGCACCTCATCCCATTCTAAAATCAGTTTAATATCGATGTCTCCATTAGGGAGACGTATCAGATATTAAGCTGATAAGAACAGATACTACACTTTGATCTTAGCCAAAAGGCCGAGAAGCGATGCCGGTCGTCGGCTTGCGCCAGCCAAATACCTGGATACCCACAGCATCCCATTAAGGAGACGGATATTTACATCAGGCCCTTGAAAAAGTCACCACCAATATTACACGCACAAATACACGCTATTTCAGACCACGGACGAGTGCGACGGCCAAATTGTAGAGATTTGTGGAGAAATTTCACCATTTGTGTAAAGTAGACAAATGTGTAAATATCCCCATTTCTGTAAGTATATAGAGCGCAGGCGATAAAAGTCAGGCAGACGTGAGGTAAACGTCCTGTAGCTACCACCGTGAGCCGGTGGTTGGGGCTTAATGGAGGAGGTGCGGGCACACAGCAGTTTGCGCTCCTCCGACTTTGAGAAAGTCGCGCCCAAGCAAGCGTGAAAAAACACTCCAATTGACAACGTGTACTAAATAAACTAACCTTAAATAAACTTAAATACAGTTCAAGTATACAAAGAAAGTTAACATAGGTGGATTTCATGTAAAATATTGTTTCAAATAAGACATAGGACGAAATGTAAGGAAAGTTTGAATGTAAACTCACCCCGGCCATACTTGTTTACAGCTTGAAAACACTTTTCAAGGGTTAGCAGGCGTTTAAGACGTGTGGTTTTGACAGGGCCGAATGTTGTTGTGTGGATGTGATTGTCTACAACGTAATTTCCGGCTTGCGACATCATGGCCGACGTCCTTGGATACGGAGACAGAAAATAGCTGAAAGTGGAAAAAATCACTTTGACGAACGTGGCGGAGGTGGGTATGGACGGAGTACAATGTGGATGGAGTGGACGTGTGCATTTCTAGAGTTTGGAAGTGATTACATGCTCCATACAGTGAAAAATAAGCGCAAAACATCAGGCAACGGCGCAAAATGAAATGAAATAAAAGGGGACGAACTGTGAAAAAAGAGGGCCAAGTTGAGGGTTCTATTTTTTATTTGAATATGAGTGGTGGGCCGTTCCCGGAGGTACTGCAATACCAGGTCAACCCGTGATGAGGGCGGAGCAAGCTCCGTGGCACCTCATCCCATTCTAAAAATCAGTTTAATATCGATGTCTCCATTGGGAGACGTATCAGATATTAAGCTGATAAGAACAGATACTACACTTTGATCTTAGCCAAAAGGCCGAGAAGCGATGCCGGTCGTCGGCTTGCGCCAGCCAAATACCTGGATACCCACAGCATCCCATTAAGGAGACGGATATTTACATCAGGCCCTTGAAAAAGTCACCACCAATATTACACGCACAAATACACGCTATTTCAGACCACGGACGAGTGCGACGGCCAAATTGTAGAGATTTGTGGAGAAATTTCACCATTTGTGTCAAGTAGACAAATGTGTAAATATCCCCCCATTTCTGTAAGTATATAGAGCGCAGGCGATAAAAGTCAGGCAGACGTGAGGTAAACGTCCTGTAGCTACCACCGTGAGCCGGTGGTTGGGGCTTAATGGAGGAGGTGCGGGCACACAGCAGTTTGCGCTCCTCCGACTTTGAGAAAGTCGCGCCCAAGCAAGCGTGAAAAAACACTCCAATTGACAACGTGTACTAAATAAACTAACCTTAAATAAACTTAAATACAGTTCAAGTATACAAAGAAAGTTAACATAGGTGGATTTCATGTAAAATATTGTTTCAAATAAGACATAGGACGAAATGTAAGGAAAGTTTGAATGTAAACTCACCCCGGCCATACTTGTTTACAGCTTGAAAACACTTTTCAAGGGTTAGCAGGCGTTTAAGGCGTGTGGTTTTGACAGGGCCGAATGTTGTTGTGTGGATGTGATTGTCTACAACGTAATTTCCGGCTTGCGACATCATGGCCGACGTCCTTGGATACGGAGACAGAAAATAGCTGAAAGTGGAAAAAAAATCACTTTGACGAACGTGGCGGAGGTGGGTATGGACGGAGTACAATGTGGATGGAGTGGACGTGTGCATTTCTAGAGTTTGGAAGTGATTACATGCTCCATACAGTGAAAAATAAGCGCAAAACATCAGGCAACGGCGCAAAATGAAATGAAATAAAGGGGACGAACTGTGAAAAGAGGGCCAAGTTGAGGGTTCTATTTTTTTATTTGAATATGAGTGGTGGGCCGTTCCCGGAGGTACTGCAATACCGGGTCAACCCGTGATGAGGGCGGAGCAAGCTCCGTGGCACCTCATCCCATTCTAAAAATCAGTTTAATATCGATGTCTCCATTAGGAGACGTATCAGATATTAAGCTGATAAGAACAGATACTACACTTTGATCTTAGCCAAAAGGCCGAGAAGCGATGCCGGTCGTCGGCTTGCGCCAGCCAAATACCTGGATACCCACAGCATCCCATTAAGGAGACGGATATTTACATCAGGCCCTTGAAAAAAAGTCACCACCAATATTACACGCACAAATACACGCTATTTCAGACCACGGACGAGTGCGACGGCCAAATTGTAGAGATTTGTGGAGAAATTTCACCATTTGTGTCAAGTAGACAAATGTGTAAATATCCCCCCATTTCTGTAAGTATATAGAGCGCAGGCGATAAAAGTCAGGCAGACGTGAGGTAAACGTCCTGTAGCTACCACCGTGAGCCGGTGGTTGGGGCTTAATGGAGGAGGTGCGGGCACACAGCAGTTTGCGCTCCTCCGACTTTGAGAAAGTCGCGCCCAAGCAAGCGTGAAAAACACTCCAATTGACAACGTGTACTAAATAAACTAACCTTAAATAAACTTAAATACAGTTCAAGTATACAAAGAAAGTTAACATAGGTGGATTTCATGTAAAATATTGTTTCAAATAAGACATAGGACGAAATGTAAGGAAAGTTTGAATGTAAACTCACCCCGGCCATACTTGTTTACAGCTTGAAAACACTTTTCAAGGGTTAGCAGGCGTTTAAGGCGTGTGGTTTTGACAGGGCCGAATGTTGTTGTGTGGATGTGATTGTCTACAACGTAATTTCCGGCTTGCGACATCATGGCCGACGTCCTTGGATACGGAGACAGAAAATAGCTGAAAGTGGAAAAAATCACTTTGACGAACGTGGCGGAGGTGGGTATGGACGGAGTACAATGTGGATGGAGTGGACGTGTGCATTTCTAGAGTTTGGAAGTGATTACATGCTCCATACAGTGAAAAATAAGCGCAAAACATCAGGCAACGGCGCAAAATGAAATGAAATAAAAGGGGACGAACTGTGAAAAGAGGGCCAAGTTGAGGGTTCTATTTTTTATTTGAATATGAGTGGTGGGCCGTTCCCGGAGGTACTGCAATACCGGGTCAACCCGTGATGAGGGCGGAGCAAGCTCCGTGGCACCTCATCCCATTCTAAAAATCAGTTTAATATCGATGTCTCCATTAGGAGACGTATCAGATATTAAGCTGATAAGAACAGATACTACACTTTGATCTTAGCCAAAAGGCCGAGAAGCGATGCCGGTCGTCGGCTTGCGCCAGCCAAATACCTGGATACCCACAGCATCCCATTAAGGAGACGGATATTTACATCAGGCCCTTGAAAAAAAGTCACCACCAATATTACACGCACAAATACACGCTATTTCAGACCACGGACGAGTGCGACGGCCAAATTGTAGAGATTTGTGGAGAAATTTCACCATTTGTGTCAAGTAGACAAATGTGTAAATATCCCCCCATTTCTGTAAGTATATAGAGCGCAGGCGATAAAAGTCAGGCAGACGTGAGGTAAACGTCCTGTAGCTACCACCGTGAGCCGGTGGTTGGGGCTTAATGGAGGAGGTGCGGGCACACAGCAGTTTGCGCTCCTCCGACTTTGAGAAAGTCGCGCCCAAGCAAGCGTGAAAAAACACTCCAATTGACAACGTGTACTAAATAAACTAACCTTAAATAAACTTAAATACAGTTCAAGTATACAAAGAAAGTTAACATAGGTGGATTTCATGTAAAATATTGTTTCAAATAAGACATAGGACGAAATGTAAGGAAAGTTTGAATGTAAACTCACCCCGGCCATACTTGTTTACAGCTTGAAAACACTTTTCAAGGGTTAGCAGGCGTTTAAGACGTGTGGTTTTGACAGGGCCGAATGTTGTTGTGTGGATGTGATTGTCTACAACGTAATTTCCGGCTTGCGACATCATGGCCGACGTCCTTGGATACGGAGACAGAAAATAGCTGAAAGTGGAAAAAAATCACTTTGACGAACGTGGCGGAGGTGGGTATGGACGGAGTACAATGTGGATGGAGTGGACGTGTGCATTTCTAGAGTTTGGAAGTGATTACATGCTCCATACAGTGAAAAATAAGCGCAAAACATCAGGCAACGGCGCAGAAATGAAATGAAATAAAAGGGGACGAACTGTGAAAAAGAGGGCCAAGTTGAGGGTTCTATTTTTTATTTGAATATGAGTGGTGGGCCGTTCCCGGAGGTACTGCAATACCGGGTCAACCCGTGATGAGGGCGGAGCAAGCTCCGTGGCACCTCATCCCATTCTAAAATCAGTTTAATATCGATGTCTCCATTAGGAGACGTATCAGATATTAAGCTGATAAGAACAGATACTACACTTTGATCTTAGCCAAAAGGCCGAGAAGCGATGCCGGTCGTCGGCTTGCGCCAGCCAAATACCTGGATACCCACAGCATCCCATTAAGGAGACGGATATTTACATCAGGCCCTTGAAAAAGTCACCACCAATATTACACGCACAAATACACGCTATTTCAGACCACGGACGAGTGCGACGGCCAAATTGTAGAGATTTGTGGAGAAATTTCACCATTTGTGTCAAGTAGACAAATGTGTAAATATCCCCCCATTTCTGTAAGTATATAGAGCGCAGGCGATAAAAAGTCAGGCAGACGTGAGGTAAACGTCCTGTAGCTACCACCGTGAGCCGGTGGTTGGGGCTTAATGGAGGAGGTGCGGGCACACAGCAGTTTGCGCTCCTCCGACTTTGAGAAAGTCGCGCCCAAGCAAGCGTGAAAAAACACTCCAATTGACAACGTGTACTAAATAAACTAACCTTAAATAAACTTAAATACAGTTCAAGTATACAAAGAAAGTTAACATAGGTGGATTTCATGTAAAATATTGTTTCAAATAAGACATAGGACGAAATGTAAGGAAAGTTTGAATGTAAACTCACCCCGGCCATACTTGTTTACAGCTTGAAAACACTTTTCAAGGGTTAGCAGGCGTTTAAGGCGTGTGGTTTTGACAGGGCCGAATGTTGTTGTGTGGATGTGATTGTCTACAACGTAATTTCCGGCTTGCGACATCATGGCCGACGTCCTTGGATACGGAGACAGAAAATAGCTGAAAGTGGAAAAAAATCACTTTGACGAACGTGGCGGAGGTGGGTATGGACGGAGTACAATGTGGATGGAGTGGACGTGTGCATTTCTAGAGTTTGGAAGTGATTACATGCTCCATACAGTGAAAAATAAGCGCAAAACATCAGGCAACGGCGCAAAATGAAATGAAATAAAAGGGGACGAACTGTGAAAAGAGGGCCAAGTTGAGGGTTCTATTTTTTATTTGAATATGAGTGGTGGGCCGTTCCCGGAGGTACTGCAATACCAGGTCAACCCGTGATGAGGGCGGAGCAAGCTCCGTGGCACCTCATCCCATTCTAAAATCAGTTTAATATCGATGTCTCCATTAGGAGACGTATCAGATATTAAGCTGATAAGAACAGATACTACACTTTGATCTTAGCCAAAAGGCCGAGAAGCGATGCCGGTCGTCGGCTTGCGCCAGCCAAATACCTGGATACCCACAGCATCCCATTAAGGAGACGGATATTTACATCAGGCCCTTGAAAAAGTCACCACCAATATTACACGCACAAATACACGCTATTTCAGACCACGGACGAGTGCGACGGCCAAATTGTAGAGATTTGTGGAGAAATTTCACCATTTGTGTCAAGTAGACAAATGTGTAAATATCCCCCCATTTCTGTAAGTATATAGAGCGCAGGCGATAAAAGTCAGGCAGACGTGAGGTAAACGTCCTGTAGCTACCACCGTGAGCCGGTGGTTGGGGCTTAATGGAGGAGGTGCGGGCACACAGCAGTTTGCGCTCCTCCGACTTTGAGAAAGTCGCGCCCAAGCAAGCGTGAAAAAACACTCCAATTGACAACGTGTACTAAATAAACTAACCTTAAATAAACTTAAATACAGTTCAAGTATACAAAGAAAGTTAACATAGGTGGATTTCATGTAAAATATTGTTTCAAATAAGACATAGGACGAAATGTAAGGAAAGTTTGAATGTAAACTCACCCCGGCCATACTTGTTTACAGCTTGAAAACACTTTTCAAGGGTTAGCAGGCGTTTAAGACGTGTGGTTTTGACAGGGCCGAATGTTGTTGTGTGGATGTGATTGTCTACAACGTAATTTCCGGCTTGCGACATCATGGCCGACGTCCTTGGATACGGAGACAGAAAATAGCTGAAAGTGGAAAAAAATCACTTTGACGAACGTGGCGGAGGTGGGTATGGACGGAGTACAATGTGGATGGAGTGGACGTGTGCATTTCTAGAGTTTGGAAGTGATTACATGCTCCATACAGTGAAAAATAAGCGCAAAACATCAGGCAACGGCGCAAAATGAAATGAAATAAAAGGGGACGAACTGTGAAAAAGAGGGCCAAGTTGAGGGTTCTATTTTTTTATTTGAATATGAGTGGTGGGCCGTTCCCGGAGGTACTGCAATACCGGGTCAACCCGTGATGAGGGCGGAGCAAGCTCCGTGGCACCTCATCCCATTCTAAAATCAGTTTAATATCGATGTCTCCATTAGGAGACGTATCAGATATTAAGCTGATAAGAACAGATACTACACTTTGATCTTAGCCAAAAGGCCGAGAAGCGATGCCGGTCGTCGGCTTGCGCCAGCCAAATACCTGGATACCCACAGCATCCCATTAAGGAGACGGATATTTACATCAGGCCCTTGAAAAAAGTCACCACCAATATTACACGCACAAATACACGCTATTTCAGACCACGGACGAGTGCGACGGCCAAATTGTAGAGATTTGTGGAGAAATTTCACCATTTGTGTCAAGTAGACAAATGTGTAAATATCCCCCCATTTCTGTAAGTATATAGAGCGCAGGCGATAAAAGTCAGGCAGACGTGAGGTAAACGTCCTGTAGCTACCACCGTGAGCCGGTGGTTGGGGCTTAATGGAGGAGGTGCGGGCACACAGCAGTTTGCGCTCCTCCGACTTTGAGAAAGTCGCGCCCAAGCAAGCGTGAAAAAACACTCCAATTGACAACGTGTACTAAATAAACTAACCTTAAATAAACTTAAATACAGTTCAAGTATACAAAGAAAGTTAACATAGGTGGATTTCATGTAAAATATTGTTTCAAATAAGACATAGGACGAAATGTAAGGAAAGTTTGAATGTAAACTCACCCCGGCCATACTTGTTTACAGCTTGAAAACACTTTTCAAGGGTTAGCAGGCGTTTAAGGCGTGTGGTTTTGACAGGGCCGAATGTTGTTGTGTGGATGTGATTGTCTACAACGTAATTTCCGGCTTGCGACATCATGGCCGACGTCCTTGGATACGGAGACAGAAAATAGCTGAAAGTGGAAAAAAATCACTTTGACGAACGTGGCGGAGGTGGGTATGGACGGAGTACAATGTGGATGGAGTGGACGTGTGCATTTCTAGAGTTTGGAAGTGATTACATGCTCCATACAGTGAAAAATAAGCGCAAAACATCAGGCAACGGCGCAAAATGAAATGAAATAAAAGGGGACGAACTGTGAAAAAGAGGGCCAAGTTGAGGGTTCTATTTTTTTATTTGAATATGAGTGGTGGGCCGTTCCCGGAGGTACTGCAATACCGGGTCAACCCGTGATGAGGGCGGAGCAAGCTCCGTGGCACCTCATCCCATTCTAAAAATCAGTTTAATATCGATGTCTCCATTAGGAGACGTATCAGATATTAAGCTGATAAGAACAGATACTACACTTTGATCTTAGCCAAAAGGCCGAGAAGCGATGCCGGTCGTCGGCTTGCGCCAGCCAAATACCTGGATACCCACAGCATCCCATTAAGGAGACGGATATTTACATCAGGCCCTTGAAAAAAAGTCACCACCAATATTACACGCACAAATACACGCTATTTCAGACCACGGACGAGTGCGACGGCCAAATTGTAGAGATTTGTGGAGAAATTTCACCATTTGTGTCAAGTAGACAAATGTGTAAATATCCCCCCATTTCTGTAAGTATATAGAGCGCAGGCGATAAAAAGTCAGGCAGACGTGAGGTAAACGTCCTGTAGCTACCACCGTGAGCCGGTGGTTGGGGCTTAATGGAGGAGGTGCGGGCACACAGCAGTTTGCGCTCCTCCGACTTTGAGAAAGTCGCGCCCAAGCAAGCGTGAAAAAACACTCCAATTGACAACGTGTACTAAATAAACTAACCTTAAATAAACTTAAATACAGTTCAAGTATACAAAGAAAGTTAACATAGGTGGATTTCATGTAAAATATTGTTTCAAATAAGACATAGGACGAAATGTAAGGAAAGTTTGAATGTAAACTCACCCCGGCCATACTTGTTTACAGCTTGAAAACACTTTTCAAGGGTTAGCAGGCGTTTAAGGCGTGTGGTTTTGACAGGGCCGAATGTTGTTGTGTGGATGTGATTGTCTACAACGTAATTTCCGGCTTGCGACATCATGGCCGACGTCCTTGGATACGGAGACAGAAAATAGCTGAAAGTGGAAAAAATCACTTTGACGAACGTGGCGGAGGTGGGTATGGACGGAGTACAATGTGGATGGAGTGGACGTGTGCATTTCTAGAGTTTGGAAGTGATTACATGCTCCATACAGTGAAAAATAAGCGCAAAACATCAGGCAACGGCGCAAAATGAAATGAAATAAAAGGGGACGAACTGAAAAAAGAGGGCCAAGTTGAGGGTTCTATTTTTTATTTGAATATGAGTGGTGGGCCGTTCCCGGAGGTACTGCAATACCGGGTCAACCCGTGATGAGGGCGGAGCAAGCTCCGTGGCACCTCATCCCATTCTAAAAATCAGTTTAATATCGATGTCTCCATTAGGAGACGTATCAGATATTAAGCTGATAAGAACAGATACTACACTTTGATCTTAGCCAAAAGGCCGAGAAGCGATGCCGGTCGTCGGCTTGCGCCAGCCAAATACCTGGATACCCACAGCATCCCATTAAGGAGACGGATATTTACATCAGGCCCTTGAAAAAGTCACCACCAATATTACACGCACAAATACACGCTATTTCAGACCACGGACGAGTGCGACGGCCAAATTGTAGAGATTTGTGGAGAAATTTCACCATTTGTGTCAAGTAGACAAATGTGTAAATATCCCCCCATTTCTGTAAGTATATAGAGCGCAGGCGATAAAAGTCAGGCAGACGTGAGGTAAACGTCCTGTAGCTACCACCGTGAGCCGGTGGTTGGGGCTTAATGGAGGAGGTGCGGGCACACAGCAGTTTGCGCTCCTCCGACTTTGAAAAGTCGCGCCCAAGCAAGCGTGAAAAACACTCCAATTGACAACGTGTACTAAATAAACTAACCTTAAATAAACTTAAATACAGTTCAAGTATACAAAGAAAGTTAACATAGGTGGATTTCATGTAAAATATTGTTTCAAATAAGACATAGGACGAAATGTAAGGAAAGTTTGAATGTAAACTCACCCCGGCCATACTTGTTTACAGCTTGAAAACACTTTTCAAGGGTTAGCAGGCGTTTAAGGCGTGTGGTTTTGACAGGGCCGAATGTTGTTGTGTGGATGTGATTGTCTACAACGTAATTTCCGGCTTGCGACATCATGGCCGACGTCCTTGGATACGGAGACAGAAAATAGCTGAAAGTGGAAAAAATCACTTTGACGAACGTGGCGGAGGTGGGTATGGACGGAGTACAATGTGGATGGAGTGGACGTGTGCATTTCTAGAGTTTGGAAGTGATTACATGCTCCATACAGTGAAAAATAAGCGCAAAACATCAGGCAACGGCGCAAAATGAAATGAAATAAAAGGGGACGAACTGTGAAAAAGAGGGCCAAGTTGAGGGTTCTATTTTTTTATTTGAATATGAGTGGTGGGCCGTTCCCGGAGGTACTGCAATACCGGGTCAACCCGTGATGAGGGCGGAGCAAGCTCCGTGGCACCTCATCCCATTCTAAAATCAGTTTAA